CTAGGTTCAATTCACCCTCTCCGAAGCCCGATCCGCCAACCAACAGGACCTCTGTCTTGTCTGGATTGAGCTTCATTTTATTGGCCCTCATCCAGCCCATTACCTCGGCCAGGCACCAGTTCAGTACAGCCACTGCCTCACCTGGATTAGTGGAAAACGAGAGGTAGAGCTGGGTATCATCAGCATACTGATGATTCTGCAGCCCACACCTCCTGATGACCTCTCCCAGCGGTTTCATGTAGATGTTAAACAGCAAAGGGGACAAAATGGACCCCTGTGGTACTCCATGGCATAGCTGCCTTGGCACAGAGCCATAATCCCCCAGCACCACCTTCTGGAATTGGCCATTGAGATAGGAGCGGAACCACTGCAAAGCAGTGCCTCCGATCCCCAATCCCACAAGCCTATCCAGAAGGATACCATGGTCGATGGTATCGAAAGCCGCTGAGAGGTCCAGGAGAACCAACAGGGACGCACTCCCCCTGTCCTTCTCCCTGCACAGGTCATCGTACAGGGCGACCAAGGCAGATTCAGTACTGTACCCGGGTCTGAAGCTGGACTGAAATGGGTCCAGATAATCAGTTTCATCCAAGAGTGCTTGGAGTTGTCTCGCCGCCACCTGCTCTAACACCTTGTCCAAAAATGGGGTGTTGGCCACTGGTCTATAGTTAGTGGCCATCTCTGGATCCAGTGACGCCTTCTTCAGGACCGGTCAGACTACCGCCTCCTTTAAAGGGACAGGCACCCGACCCTCCCTCAGAGAAGCGTTAACCACTTCCAAGATCCAGATCCCAATCCCGTGCTTGGAATTATTTAGTAACCAAGACGGGCAAGGGTCCAATAGGCAAGTGGTGGGACGTACTCGTCCAAACACCTTGTCCACATCATCGGGCCGCAGTAACTGAAATTCATCCAATAATTCTGGACCAGACGGCAGCATTGGTGTCTCCCTAAAAACCTCTGAATCAATAGTGGAATCCAGCTCGTGACGAATCTGAGCGATTTTCTCCCTGAAATGCCTGGCAAAGTCATCACAGGGTGGAACCAGGTCTTCCTTCGGACCAGGCCTTGCACCACTCGAAAAAGCTCCTCCGGACGGCATTGTGAGGAGGCAATGGAAGTGGAAAAAAACCTCTTTTTCGCCGCCCTCACCGCCACAGCATAGGCCCGATAATGGGCTCTCAAGTGTGTTTGGTCAGATTCATCCCATGATTTCCTCCACCTACGCTCTAGCTGTCTCCCATCCTGCTTCATCGCCCTCAATTCAGGAGTATACCAAGGGGAAGAGCGGGCTTTGCCCGGTGGGAGAGGATGCTTGGGAGCGATTGTGTCCACAGCCCTGTTCATCTCCCTGTTCCACAGTTTGACTAGAGTCTCGACAGGAGCACCCGTCTTGTCAGCCAGAAACTCCCCCAGGGCCTTCAGGAATCCCTCCGGATCCATCCAGCTCCGAGGGCGGACTCGCACAGTCGGGTCCGCACCATTACAGAGGGAGAGTACCTGCTCCTTTGCTGTGGTCACTGCCCCCATTTTAGTATCATCTGCAAATCTGATCTGCTGACTACTCACCTCCTCCTCTAGGTCATTGATGAAAAGATTGACCAGGATCGGTCCCAGGACTGAACCCTGGGGGACTCCACTCATCACCATCTGCCATCCCAATAATTCGCACTAATAGTAATCCTCTGCTTCCAGTCCATCAGCCATGCCCTAATCCATCGGGCAGTGCATTGGTCTTTCTCAAAACTCCTCAATTTCTCAACCAGGATATCATGTGGCACTTTGTCAAATGCTTTGCTGTAATCCAGGTAAACCACATCCACTGAGTCCCTTCCATCTAGCCACCTCAAAACCTTATCATAGAATTCTACAAGGGGAACACAGGGGTCTGGATTGGCAGATTTGGGATGTCAATTGCTGTTTGAATTGCTTTGTAGATGGAAGCACCTCTTTGTGTATCATATTGCCAATGAAGCCACATGATTTATCAGCATTGTATTGAAATGTGCCAAGTAACATCAAAGTTCTGTGGGTTCACTAGTGAACCTCTCGTCTTCTTGTTCGAGATGCACCATCTAGCAAGAGATTCCATGAATGGCAGCCTCGTCTGTGACAAAGGCAAAAATGGTACTTGCTAAATCCAGGCAAGCACTCAAGAAGCTGATATGGCCACTGGAATGATATTACGTATTTCACTTCCATAACTTTCATATCCATTGATGAAGTCTACCGAGAACAGAAAACAAATAAACCAGCAAAACCAAAACAATCTGTATTTTTAAAAATGTATTTTGATTTATGACTTTCAGATTTGAGTATGTTTGCATCTTTGTGCCAATGCTGAGATTGGCATGAGGATCTGAGTTGTCTTTCAGGATAACTGTTCAGAGTCCCCTGTGATGCCTCAAATGCTGGTTCGGAAGATCAGTGTACTTGCAATGTACACATGCTGGATGGGAAGGTATCTGAAATGCATCCGCTCCAGAGTGCTACAATGTGGAAAGATCTCCACAGCCACTGGGGCAGAACTTGGAAAGCCGTGGAGCCTCAAAGCAGGGCAAAAAATTGCCAGATCCAAAGCTTTTTGGGTTCATGCTCACCATGTCCTTCCAATATATTGAATATTTCAGCTAAAGTTCATCAAGGGCTGGAAGGCAGCTCACTGTTCGATATTCCAATACTGAGGAAGGAACAGAATTCTGCTTTGTGCTCACCCACTTTCCTGCTGCCACCCTTTAGTGTCCCCCCCCACCCACCCAAAAGCCTCCCATTGTAGCTCCAAGGGCAAAGAGCACAGTCACAGTCAGGTCTTTTTTAAAAATTGCACATGTTTGAAATCTATGAGCGGTGTGTGTCCCTTCCCTCATATATTTGGCTCTTTAAAATCCTTTTTAAGTGCATTGACAATAAGAGAGATCAAAGACATGCTTGTTACCCATTTTTTATTCTATTTCAAAAAATGTAAAACATCACAAGACTGGCCTTTTATAATATTCCTTGAGGAAATGTGCACAAGGATGACTTGTGTAAGGTTTAAAAATGGGTGTAAATTCATGAATTTGGAAGAGGTTGGCATGCAAAAATCCAGACTGGTTTCAATAACATGGGACAGAGTGTGGTCAGAAAAAAATGGTGTGCCCCAAAGAGAGAAAAGACTGAATTTGGCCACCAGATTGTAGATTCTATCTGTAGACATGCTGTATTCATAGAAAGCACCCTTTCAGTGATGAGTAGCAAGATGGAGAAAATTGCTCAGGCGTGGGGGGGGGGGGCTGTCCCCAGCCGCCTGAATCAGCCAGACACAGCACTTTGCTCAAGAGAGGATCCTGTAAAGATTCAAAAGAGGAGTGTCAGTTCCCGATGATCAATGCTAAAAGTGACAATTAGCACCCACTGAACTGCTTCTAGCAAACATAACACAATTTCGCAGAAGAAAAAATTACACACACACACACACACACACACACACACCTCCTGTATGAGGAACCAGCAACAAGAAAATCATAGAATCACAGAATAGCAGAGTTGGAAGTGGCCATGAAGGCCATCCAGTCCAACCCCCTGCTGTTGCAGGACACAACGTTGCACCATTCCACTCAGATGGCTGCCCAGTTTCACCTTGAATGTGTGTAGCATGGGAGAGCCCACCACCTCTCCAGGCAGCTGGTTCCACTGCCATCTTGTTCTGACAGTGAGGAAGCTTTTCCTGATGTCCAGCCTGAATCTGGGTTGTTGCAACTTGAACTGATTATTCTGTGTCCTACACTCTGGCATTAGCAAGAAGAGATCTTGTCCTCTTTGTGACAGCCTTTGAGGTTTTAAAAGAGGGAGACCCTGAGAAGGAGACCCTACCCTGCCCCGCCCAGACTTCTCTTCTCAAGGCTGAACATGCCCCATTCTCTCAGTCTCTCCTCACAGGGCAGTGTTTCCAAACCCCAGATCATTTTTGTTGCCCTCTGCTGGACCCTTTCTAATTTACCTGCATCTTCCTTAAATTTTGGTGCCCAAAACTGTACACAATATTCCAGGTGATGTCTGACTAGTGAGGAGAATAGAGGAACTACTACTCCTCGTGATTTGGAAGTAATACTTCTGTTAATGCATCCCAAAATAGCATTTGCCCTTTTGGCGGCTGCATCATTTAGAACAAGCTTTGAAATGAAAATAGCTCTTGCTACAGACTTGAATAACACAGAATCTCAGGAGCAGGCTCCTCAACAAGGCTGAAAAAGTGGTCCATGGAACCCAGGATGGTCCACTTGGACTAGCAAGACAGACAGGGGGACCTTTACTTCCTCTCCCACACCCTTCTTTAAAGTGGAAATGGCAGGCCAAAATAGGTGGGCAAAATAGGTGCTTTTCCACTGAACCATTTCCCTTCTCCATGCAATGTTGTATTGGATATTTCCACAACAGAAGAGCAAATATGGTGGACGGTCCTTGGTGGCATCCACTCATGTCTTTCCTAAGCAAACTATAAGGAGTCTCTCTTTGAGTCCCCATGGCATTGTCTCCTTCCCACAGGCCATGTCCACACCTTTCCACTCATGGTCTTGGGGAGAAGGCTGTTGTCCATGGCAGAGTGCCACCTTGGCACACAGAAGAACTCCAGTTCCATCCCCAGCACTGCTAGGTAGGAGTGAATGAACACCTTCCTGGAATTCTGGAAAGTGGCTGCCAGTCAGTGTTCAACATACTGGGCTAGATGGACCAACACTTTGATTTGGTGTGTAACAGCTCCCCTGAGTCCCACCAAACACTTGCTGAGTGTCTCTGTCATGCAACCATCTTCTAGCATGGGTGGAAAAGGGACAAAGGAAAGGCCAACTGTATTAACCCTTCATTCTTTCCATTCTGTGCACTTGTACCATTTATGCCAATCCTGTTGTAACGACACACACGCCTAAGCATTGGGAGGAAGGCCAACATGACTTTCTACTCTCAGCACTGCTACCCTCTGTAAACTAAATAAAGTCTTGGATCTATGTTGAACCGTCTCCTTACTTTGAACAGCAATGCATTGATCCTCCGAAGCAAGTCCCAGTTGGTTCAAAAGTAGGTGGGCATACCACAGCTTTGCAGAAGCTGCGTGGTGTAGTCCGGCATTTTATGGTATCGGATAAACCAGCAGGAACCAAACCATAACCTAACAAAAGAGTACACAGGGTTAAGTTCTTGGCATGCACAGACAAAAGAAAAGCAAAGAGGCTGCTTGGTTGGAGATGGGCTATGGCAAATTCTTCTCACAGTCCTTGTGCCTTCTGTAACTTGACCCCAACTCAGCCCATTTTGGCCACTATTTTGTTTCCAGCAGGAGGGAACCGCCACACGTGCAAGAATGAATGCGCACAGAGGCTCCATGGTGTAGAGAATGCATGCACATTTCAACCTGGATGAGCACAGTTTGGCAACAGTGACACATGCTCTGGTAACCTCCGGGTTGCATTACAGTAATGCGCTCTATGTGGGGCTGCCCTTGAAGACAGTCTGGATACTTCGATTGGTTCAAAATAGAGCTGCCAGGCTGCTGATGGGGGCTGGTCGCTATTCTCACATAATGCAGGTTCTCTATCAGCTCCATTGGCTACCGATTGAAGTCTGGGCCCAATTTAAGGAGCAGGTGCTGACCAATAAAGCCCTAAATGGCTTGGGACCAGGATACCTGAAGGAACGTCTTCTTCCTTAGATGCCCTCCTGCCCCTTAAGATCTGAGGCAGAGGCCCTGCTTCGGAAACCCTCCCTGAAGGAGGTCAGGAGAGTGAATACCCGGAGGAGGGCCTTCTCTGCGGTGGCACCCCAACTGTGGAATTTGTTCCCCAGAGAGGTTCGCCTGGCGCCGTCATTATATTCTTTTCGGCACCAGGCAAAAGTCTTTTTATTTGCCCAATATTTTAATATTTAATTATTTTAACTCGGTTTTAACATCGTTATGCTCAGCTATGCTTTGTTATGCATGTTATGTGGGATTTTGTTGTAATTGTTTATTGTCTGATTATTTATGGTTTGTAAGCCGTCCTGGGACATTTTGTAAAGGACGGAATATAAATATTGCAACCAAACAAACAAATAAATAAACTGTTGGGGAGAAGACTGAGCGAAGTCAGGTGAAGTCTGCAAAATGCAGGCACGAGGGAATTTTGCTCTGTCTGCGCAAAACTTATCCAGCTTGGCTGCCCTGAAACGTCCAGTGTTAGAAACACTTCCCAGAGTCCTGAGAGGAATCTCATGGTGGATTTATTTATTAAAAACTTTTCTATGCTGTCCCTCCACAGACATCTCGGGACGGTTTACAATAGATTAATAAAACAGAATAAAAATAGAATTAAGAATAGCAGTTGCACAGCATCCAATGTTAAATATAAAACCACCAATTAAAACAGGCTAACAATTAAAATATTGGGAGAATAAAAAGGATGGCTTCCTTGTATTTCAACCTACAGCACCATCATCCTTCACTAAGTAATTCTCTTGTCTGTTATGTAGCCCAAAAGCATAGCAAAGGATAGTCCTTTTAGGACATACCAGCCCTGTTTTCTCAGAGTGGGAGTAGGTAACTGGTCCTTTCATGTCCTCTTCATATGCTAAATGGCTACTCTAACAACCAACATTCTTGATTAGGTGGACTTGCTTGGGCTCATCCAGCCAGATTAGTTGTAAGTGCTCAGGCAAACAGAAGAACTGGAAGGCTACTTGATTATCCTTTGGACTGACTTTTTTGGATACAGTGTAAGCATTTATGGAAGGGAGATTCCATACGAAATTAAAAATGCTTCACTGCCTTGTATTGATCGTTGAATGTCCAAGGGGAACCTACGACAGATGTTGAATTCTGAGTTTCTCTCTGCTCAGGGTCACAGGCATGCTGTTCTCTCCCTGCTCCATCCATCTAGAGTCAGAATTCTCTGGCCACTGGGAAAGTTCATGCCTTAGTAGCCTGTTTTTTCACAGTACTGTGTGGAGACTACATTGCTAGGGAAGTGTGAGGAATTGACTTGGGCACTCAAAATCTGGTGGATTGGTCTGGCTCAGCTCCTGGGATTCTGGCCTGTCTCCCCAGCACTGTCACTGACTCACCTGGACACACCTTGAGCCAGCCCACCATCTTCCACTTTAAATGTGTGCTGCATCATTTTATTTTAAAGGCAAAGAAATGTGTGCACATTTCAGCCTTGTGTTGCACTCGTTGTGCCTGTATCTTATGAACATTTCCCTGTCTGTGTGTGTAAGTGCACGCGTGTGTGCGCGTGTGCAAAGCACAGCTTGCTTTGAAAGTAGAAGCCACCAAAAACCAAAATCCCACTGAATTCCGACAGGGATCACCCATCCCGACTTGCAGCTGATCAATGGAATACCTGCTTTGGACACAGAAATCGCCAGGTTCAGTCCTGGCAACTTGGGGACTGTTTGGTCTTTTAAAGAACTTGGTCCATGATGCACAAGGGAGCAACTTCTCCCTGACCTACTTGGTTGCTGAGGTCACAGGAGGACATGCTCCTGATGCTTCCAGATGGACCTATGACCTGACTAGAGTCTACCAGGAGTACAGCTTCTGGTACAGTGGCTTAGAGTTCTCTCCCTCTGGAACTCAGGCAGATGCTACTGACATGTGGTTTTCAACACCTGCTAAAAACACCTTTCTTTCAGGAGGACTTCCCTGTTGGACCCTCCACTGTTTTACTGATAGCCTGGCCTATTTTTTCCACTGCTTTATCTTTTTTATTGTCCACTGCTCCAGAACCTGTCTAGAAATGGAGCAGTATATAAATGTTGTAAGTAAGTAAATAAGTCTGTCTCTATGTCCATTTGGGACTGAAGCCCTGGAGGACCATGGCCAACCAGTGCAAACCATATTGAGTTAGGAAGACCAATGGTGATCAAGGAAGCTTCCATTCCAAGCTTTTGGAATTAGGCAGGCTAGCAAATGTCATGTCTATGAGAACCACTGGTCGATTTTCCTTTTAGTTCTTTCTCCCTCTTTTCTAAACACGTGAAAGTTTCAAATTCTTTGCTACTGAAGAGCTTTTTCTGCTTACCTGGGCAAATCTGGAAGAGGAGGACGACAACTGCCACGAAGAAATAGAGAAATCTCATGGTGGATGGCTGGTCTCTGAGCTTTGGTGGACAGAAGAAATTCACAAGGATTTCTCAGCCAGGTGTTTTGTGGTGGATGAAGCTCAGGACCGCTTGTGTATTTATAGGGTTGAGATCATTGCAAAATCAAACTGTATAACTTATTTGTCAATAAGTAACTGACCTTAACCATGTGGAAAACTTGTTGGCTACTATCTGTGAATTGCATCATTGTTGAATGATGTGATGATAAATCATGACTCAATCTGCCTGGTGAAAATTCAGTGACTTCTTCGCATGTTGTGCAACTTTGTCATATTCCAAGTCACATCAAGTTCCTCATGGGGGGATGTATTGAGACAACTCTGTGAGGCTCTTGCAAACAGAGAGATGCCCTGATGTTGCCTGATAGCAGAGCTGACAATGGATTAATCCATTGCTACTGGATTCCTCCATGATCTTTCAACCAATTGACAGTGGAGAATACACCTATCAATGGCTACTTGTCGTGGCCGCCATATGCTAATCCTTGGAATTGGAGGCTGTGCCCATGGCCACCACCTTCTCAGGGAGGGGGTTTCCACTGGACAGCATGTCTGCATGTGCGCTTTTTTCAGGCCCTCAATAGGGCAAACGTGGGAACTGAATGCTGGATGAAATGCCCACTGGACTCACCCAGAAGGGCTCTTACGTTCTTGATGAAACCATTAATGAATTGGTTCCCTTTTAGCAAATCTTTATATAACCAGCATGTCACCATATAGTTCTGCTGAAGAAGTACAAGTGAACTTCATATTTTAATACAAGCTGATCATCTTCCACAATACACCATTATTTTCCAGTTTATACTACCACTGTTTCACCCTTCCAACACGTCAACCAGCATTCTACAGCCACTGAGCATGTTCAATTGAGCTGGATTTTTCCTCCATCCTCACTGGGTGGCAGAGGAGTTTTTAAATTTTCTTTGTGTGTTTATAACTGTTGCAGTTCCCAAAAATCTAGTTTCACCTCTCTTTTGTGTGTGTTGGCTACCTTTGTATCTGAAAAAGCATCCATGCTCCTACAGTGCTATTACTACGAGCATGTTGGATCGGTTGTTCATTCATTTGTTTCTTACTTACTCAAGAGAGCTAAAATTCCCTCAAAGAACAAATGATATGCTTTTGACTCTCAGTTCCACAGACGACAGTTATGCTTTTCACTGTTTATTTATTTACTTATTTATCTCATTTCTATGCCACCCCATAGCCAAAGGTTCTCTGGGCAGCTCACAATGCAATATAAATGTATTTAAAATATATATAAAAATAAATAACAATAAGAAACAAAACCATAAAACATAGAAAAATTAAAATACATTGTAAATAAAACCATATAAATAGGAAACAGGAGGACAATAAACACAGTAAGACCAATAACCAATAAAACAGTAAACAATAAAACAATAAACCAGCTGCAAACCAATAATCCAATCTAAAAACAGATACTAAATTTAAAAAAGTCTTGCCTTGGTGTCAAACAAAGTGGGTGCCACTCACACCTCCCTTGGAAGGGAATTGCGAAGGTGAGGTGCAATGACCAAGAAGGCCCTTTCCAGGGTTGAACCCGCTGCTCAAACCAGTTGGCCTTTCTTGGTGCAGTGGCCTCCGACAGAAGCCCAGAATGGGATGCTGAACCAGATTTTGGAAAAGGAGCTCTTCCACCCGGCTGCCTGTGGGACCGATTGTGTCAGGATGGAAAGGCAGTGATGTTGCTTTAGCATTTGGAAAGCCGCAAGCAGAAAGTTGCTGGAGGAGACCCCTGCAACTCCCCTGGACCGCAAGGGAATCAAACCGGTCAGTCCTAGAGGAGATCAACCCTGACTGCTCTTGAGAAGGCCAGATCCTGAAGATGAAGCTCAAATACTTTGGCCACCTAATGAGAAGGAAGGACTCCCTGGAGAAGAGCCTGATGCTGGGAACAATAGATGGCAAAAGAGGAAGGGGATGGCAGAGGATGAATTGGCTAGAGGGGATCACTGGGGTGGTGGGTGTGAGCTTGAATGGATTCCGGGTGATAGTGGAGGACAGGAAGGCCTGGAGGAATGTTGTCCATGGGGTTGTGATGGTTCAGATGAGACTTCGCAACTAACAACAACAACAAAGCAGAAAGCATTTCCCTTTGCATCATTCTCACCTCCTAGCAGCTGATCCTCCTGGCAGGAGCCATTCGGCACTGCACCCTTGGCCTGCATGCTTGGCAATCGGAATGGAAGATACATCATGTTCTACTCAGTCGGTTTTACCTTTTCTGAATAGGAGGACACCCCCAGCCCCCACTGGCCCATAGACCGATTGATTGATCACTCTTCTGCATACATCTGGAAGAAGCTAGATCCAGAACAGATGGCAAAATTGGGATCAATCCAGTTCAATCTTTCATCAATGATTTGGAAGAAGGGGTGACCAGTCTGCTGATCAAATTTGTAGATGATACTAAAACAGGGGCAGTGGCTACAACTGAGGAGCAGGTACTCCATATCCAGAAGGATCTGGACTGACTGTGGAAGTGGGCAGGAGACAACAGGATGGCGTTCAGTGTGGATAAGTGCAAGGTCTTGCACTTGGGGCATGGGAATAGCTGTCATAAGTACAGGTTAGGGGGCCAGTGGCTGGAGAGCAGCGCTTGTGAAAGGGACCTCGGGGTGCTGGTGGCTGCAGGCTAAACATGAGCCAGCAGTGTGATGCGGTGGCCAAGAGGGTGAACGCCACCCTTGGTTGCATAGCCAGAAGTGTGGCTTCTAGATTGAGAGAGGTATTACTGGAACTCTTTATGACTCTGGTGTGCCCGGAACTGGAGTATTGTGTTCAGTTCTGGGCCCCTCATTACAGGAAGGATAGAGCCAGGTTGGAGTCAGTGCAGCACAGGGCCACAAGGTTGGTGGCCGGTTTGCAGGGGATGCCGTATGAGCCGAGACTGAGGGAACTGGGTCTCTTCATCCTGGAGAAGAGGAGACTCAGAGGGGATCTGTTGGCGACATGCAGGTATGTGAGGGGGTGTCACACGGAGGTGGGTAGAGACCTGTTCTCCTCTGCAGAGGAAGGCAGGACTCATTCCAATGGAGCAAAGCTCAGGGAACCAAGGTTCAAGGTGGATATCAGAAAGTACCTGCTGGAGGACAGGACCCCGAGGGTATGGAATGGGCTTCCACAGGAGGTGGTTGAGGCCCCATCGGTGCTGGTGTTCAAGGACAGGCTGGACATGCACATGGTAGGCATGTCATGAGCAGAGCCGGCTGGAGCTGGGGTCAGACTAGATGGCCCAGGAGACCCCTTCTGACTCACTCTGTTTCTCTGTTTCTATATTGACTAATTACCTACATAGAAAACCAGCCAAAGAACTTAATAAACTTTTTTGCTTTTTGTTTTTATATAATTTTATGGATTTTGTTAATATTTTTAATTGTACGTTGCGAGTCGTCCTGAGATGCCGAGGCATGTGGTGACGGCATATAAAAGTTTTAAATAAATAAAATAAATAAGTAGAAACAGTACAATGCACAGCTTACTTTATAATGGGGATAGAAAAATCTACATGTGAACAGAGTGGAATTTTTGAAAATATTGTCAAAGATTAACATTTATAATAGCAAGGAGAACTATATAGATAGAATAGGATTCTTGAAACGATTATTAGAAACCAACTTTTGCCCTGATGTTCTGTTGTTATAGTAAGTTGAGTTATGATGAATGGGGCAATTTAAGCACATGGTAATTGAGGCTAGAGTCAAAACTGCCTTAAAATGGAAAGTAGAAAACGTTTAATCATTGAAGACTGGAAAAATAAGTTAGCTGACTATGTTGTGATGGTTAGACTATCTAGCCATGTAGGAAGATAACCATGCAAAGAAATTAATAACAAGATGAAGTTGTATTACACACAACTTCTTGTTTATGGGGATAATAATAATGGGAAAATATAGGTAGAAAAGGAATAAGATTTTGAGAAATTTGTTAGCAGTTAGAAGAGTCTGCAATGAATTTTAACTAAGCCCTAAAAGAAATGTGACTGAGTAGAAATGATAGTAATTGTTGACTGAAAGTGATTATTATTTTTAAAAACTTGATATTCTATGAAACATTTATTTAACCTTGGTGTTACTCTATAATTTTTACTTGTCCTTCCTTCCTTCCTTCCTTCCTTCCTTCCTTCCTTCCTTCCTTCCTTCCTTCTTTCCTTTGTTTCTTCTTAAACTTTACTGCTATTAAAGTTTGAAAAAAATAAAAAGAGGCACTGGAGTTACAGTCTGGAATGTTCCGGAGTTAACTCCATTGCTGCCTCAAGGCACGGTTGTGTAAGAGAATTCCCTTTTGGCAGATGGCATGAGCTGCTGGTGGTTCCAGTCAGGAGCAGCTGCCCCACCAACATTCAGTGCCATGGAATTTTCCACCAGGTTCACAAGGCAGACACAGTTCACATCTCAACCTTCCTGTGCACCAGCTTGGGATCAGAGGGGCTCCCCCAGGTTCTTTCACTGACTACTCCACTGGGGCAGATGTCCATTTATGGGGCAGAGAAGCTCTTCCGGAATAGCACCAAGCATTCCCACTGGCCAGGACACAGTGAGCCAAGCCTGCTAAGATTTGCTGGTGTTTTAGGGAAGCTGAAACCAAATTCATTTACGTAGGCAGTGCAAAGCACTCTGGATTTTGCAATACACTGGGAAGTGCAAATCTAGTCCCTTCACCCAAAGATCAGGCTGAGCAAAGTTCCGGAGCACCTCCTAGTTCTAGGGAAGGAGGCAGGAAAGAAAGGGAACTTGGTCACAAATGAAATATTATAAAATACTAAAAGCCTTTCGGGTTCTCTCAGGAAAAAAACAATGTCCTTTAGCACCAGACTCCCAAGATTTTCTCACTCCTCACAGGATTGAAGTGCAAAAAGCTATACCTTCCCATTTTGGTAAAATAAATTATTTGAGCTTCACTGTGCATATATAAAGAGAAAAGGATGGAAAGTTCTCTATTAAGTATTTATTA